TGCATCGATCTTCACTGCCTTAAGAGTGTCGTAGACACGTTGGCATTCGTGTTTAGAGTTCGGCAATTCTACACAACTCTCCGCAGCTCCTTAGAGTACGTTAGCACGTTGGGCTAACGCCTCGAGAGTGTCCGAGGACACATTGGCATTTGTGGTACGCAGTGTATGGTAACTCCACAGATCTCCACCTTCTCAATACGATCGAGAATTGAGAGAAGGCTTCGCGCGATCTCGTCGGATTACCTGGACGCCTCCACCGCGGTGGACGACGTCTCGCTTCGCGACATTTCCGTATTACATACCGGGTATTAGCGCCAACAGAACTGAGTTACAATTGAGCTCACGACTCCGCGCGAGTCGTAGTTGTAATCAAGATCTCTGCGGCCAGGGCCGCAGCTCTATCGCGAGCCAAGCTAGCTATTGCTCCGCTGCCAGGGACGCAGCTTATACACGCGAGCCACGCTCGCATTTACGTCCGCCTAGGGCTTAGCAGCTGCCAGGGACGCAGCCTATACACGCGAGTCAAACTCGCCTTCACGTCCGAATCGGACTTAGTCGCTGTCAGGGACGCAGCTCACGCGAGCCGAGCTCGCTATTGCTACGCTGCCAGGACCGCAGCGCTTACGCAAACCAGGTTCGGTACAAGTCTACTCACGACTTAACCGATCGTCGCATCCGCGACTCAACACGCGAGGACTCTTCGCTTCTCACCGCGACGAGACTTAGCATTCGTCACGCACACGGTACTATTAACGCATGTTTACAGTGACCTGCACGTCACCGTCAGGCTTCAACACAGCCGCGTCCGCGATTCAGTGTTGCACTTGCGGGCTGTTCCTACAAAACATCGCAGGTGCCGCGTGCGCGACTGACAAAAGCGACTTCAGCTCGTCTGACTATCATTCCGGATTCAGCCTCTGTTGTTTCCTCGCCAACCAGAGCTGAATCTCATGGAACCAGTTCCGACACTCACCAAAGGAGACGGACTAGTGTCTCTATACTCTGAGTGACAATCATCCTCCGAAAGGGGGATTCATTCCCAGCACGGAGGCGCCGGGCAATTCCACGCGTGTCCTTCACTGGGCCACGCCGTG